GAATAGTCATAGGGATGTTAGGAAGTATTTCTTCAGCTTTTGGGTTGTCAAGAAGTGGAACTATCTGGAGAGTGAAGTAGTCGAGGCATGATTTATACATAGCTTCAAGAAGGGGTACGATAAGCATCTTGGAGCAGGGAGTGGACCTAGTAGCAACTAGCGGACAGACGAGGCCAAGAACTGTGAATTGACCCCTGCAACCACAAATAAGTGAGCGTAAATACACACGTAGCAATGTATTGTTGTGTTGAACAAGAAATTAGCCTTTTAAGAGCAAAGAGGCCAGGAGTGTAAACTTCCTTTGTTAGGAGTAGCATACAAACTTATTGTAGATCAAGGCAGAGTGGTTTACTTAATATTAATAGTACACGGTCCAGTTCTTCACTCTGGTTACATCCCGTCTTCTTAATCACAGATATTTCACTTTTTTAAAAACATTGAAACTTGACATTGATGAAGAAACCTTACATAGTGAAACTAACATAGTTATGTCTACTATGTTCTGTGATCCGATACCCGTTACTGTTTGCGCAGAACTTTTTATCGCCTTTATCGTATATTTTCTTAAATTATGTTATGTTATAATTGGTTATTTTTTATAAACAAAGGATAGTCTAACCTATCCGAGAAATTTGTTCCAAATCGTATGTTTGTGAGCAATTCACATACATAATGGTTTAAGATGTTTGTTCATATTGCACACTCTTACGTGGAGTCAGCATTTACGGAGGATGGAGCAAAATAGGATGATCAGAAGGGTGTATACATCTGGGATGAATAGAAGGAGGGATCGGGATCGTCCCAGGAAAGGTTGGATGGAGAGGTTTTGAGAGCGAGGGGCTTTGACATCCAAAATACTTGTGTGAGCGTGTTAAATAGGAAGAAAAAGTGGATACAAGTGTTTTTTGACTTGATGTGCTGTTGGAATGTATCATGAAGGAAAATCCGGACTTAACTTTTGGAGGTGGTAAGTACAGTGCCTGCACTTTGAAGGAGGGATGGGATGTTGCGGCTTGGTGGGTCATATGAACTGTGATGTAAACATCCTTCTCTCAAGACACTGAGTGAATGACGGTGAAAGTGTTTCCTCTTTTTTAAGGATGGCTCTATATTGGTGGGATATCTGGTGTATACCTGGAGAGGGTTCCGGGGGTCAACGCCCCCGCAGCCCGGTCTGTGACCAGGTATCATGGTGGATCAGAACCTGATCAACCAGGCTGTTACTGTTGGCTGCACGCAACCCGACGTACGAACTACAGCCCGGCTGGTCAGGTACTGACTTTAGGTGCCTGTCCTGTGCCTGCTTGAAGACAGTCAGGGGTCTATTGGTAATCCCCCTTATGTATGCTGGGAGGCAGTTGAACAGTCTTGGCCCCTTGACACTTATTGTGTTGTCTCATATCGTGCTAGTGGCGCCCATGCTTTTCAATGGGGAGGATGTTGCATCGTCTGCCGAGTCTTTTGTTTTTATAGGGAGTGATTTTCGTGTGCAAGTTTGGTACTAATCCCGCTAGGATTTTCCAAGTGTATATAATCATGTATCTCTCCCGCCTGCGTTCTAGTGCGTACAGGTTGACAAACTTCAAGCGTTTCCAGTAATTGAGGTGTTTTATCGCAGTTATGTGTGCTGTTAAAGGTTCTCTGTACATTTTCTAGGTCAGCAATTTCACCTGCCTTGAAAGGTGCTGTTAGTGCGCAGCAATATTCCAGCCTAGATGGAACAAGCGACCTGAAAAGTGTCATCATGGGCTTAGCATCCCTAGTTTTGAAGGTTCTCATTATCCATCCTGTCATTTTTCTAGCAGATGCGATTGATACAATGTTATGGTCTTTGAAGCTGAGATCCTCTGACATGATCACTCCCAGGCCTTTTACATTAGTTTTTCGCTCTATTATGTGGTTGGAATTTGTTTTATACTCCGATGTAGTTTTAATTTCCTCACGTTTTCCATATTGGAGTAATTGAAATTTCTCATCATTGAATATATACATATAGTGTGTGTAAATGCGTATTGTTTACATATCCATACACACATAATGTACTTCCAAACATTTGCATGCATGCGTGACATGATATTGGATGAAGGCGAATATTATATATATATGGCCCAGACGTGTTTAAGTGAGGGTAAGCGTGATAGGCAAACTTGTTAGTAAACACGGATGGTAAGACCCTCTTTGGCACATACCACCACCACCACCCAACCAGTAGTCAATACTGGCTCTACCCCAGCCTCATATTACACAATTCCCTTTCTTATACATTACCTACCCACTAGGTTATAAACCTTCTCATAGTTTCTTAAAATTCAGCTTTTGTTGTTTTAGGTTAGATGAATTAAATAAACCTGTCATCTAAACTGTTATGTTAACATACCTCTGGCATGACAGCAGTTGAATGAATGAAGATGAATGTCTTTCATTATTTATGTCACCCTACCTTGGTGGGAGACGTGTGTTTGCTTATCTTTATATATATATATATATATAATATATATATATATATATATATATATATATATATATATATATATATATATATATATATATATATATATATATATATATAATATGCAAAACAACCACTGTGAAAGAATAGAGAAATTCCAAGTGCTTTCGTGACTACTCACATTATCAAGGAACAATCCATTGTTCCTTGATAATGTGAGTAGTCACGAAAGCGCTTGAATTTCTCTATTCTTTCACAGTGGTTGTTTTGCATATTCTGAAATCACCTGTTTACTGTAATCTTATTGCATATATATATATATATATATATATATATATATATATATATATATATATATATATATATATATATATATATATATATATATATATATATATATATATATAGTCGTGCCGAATAGGTAAAAAGTTGTGATTTTGGTTTAAATAGCAACACTCTTCTTGCCGAATAAGGCAAGCGAAATTTTGTGTATTCAATAATTTTGCAAAAATCATTCTGAATCTATCTTGTCTAAAATATATTTAGTTGGATTAGGCTAAATTAAATTGCGCTTGTTTAATAAGGTTAGGTAAGTTTTCTAAGGTTCTTATGGTACAATATTATTAATTTTTATATTAACCTAAATTAAAAAAAAATCTTTAAACGTAAAAATATATCTTTAAACGTATAAGAGAAAATTTTAGAAACGACTTAATAAACACATTTAAATGCTTTTTTTCGTTAGGTTCAGAATGATTTTTGCGAAATTATTGCATACACAAATTTTCACTTGCCTTATTCGGTAAGAATAGCATTGCTATTTAAGCCAAAATCGCAAGTTTTACCTAATCGGCACGATATATATAAATATATATATTACACACACATATATGCTTAACAATACGCAAACAGGCGAAATTATTTACAAACATTGTCTCTACGTCCACAGCAGGACGTAGAGACAATGTAAATAATTTTGCCTGTTTGCGAATTGTTAAGCATTTCAAATTTCTTTCGTTGTCCACTGCATGTGGCAGGATTCAATGAAATAACTTTCAAAATGAGCTTGGTGCCCGGGGGTATGGGGTAAAATACTTATCGCAGGTCTAGTCTCGTGGTAAAGTACTGTGGACTCTGATACAGAGTTAGCAGGTTCGAGTCCTGCTGTGGACGTAGAGACAATGTTTGTACACACATATATACATGCATGCATGTATATTTTTACTGACAATAGGCAGATTTCAAAAAAATCGTTGTTTATGTTTGGGAGCAGTGTCCTTGAGAATATGAGATTATGAAAATGCACTTTTTTTGCAGTGTGGTGCGAGGCTGGAGCAAACAGTCCGTAGAGCCCCTGCTCCTGGGAAAGCTCTCTTCACAGGTATTAATAAACATGCACTGATAAGCAGCCGTGTTTTGGCCTCGTACATGGGACTGGCAGGGTCATGGGGGTATGAGTAAACAAACATCGACAGAGATGCATTCGTCTTGCATTATTACTAACCTCTCGCTCAATTCTTGGGTATGACCTACTTCTGCTAGTGGGTCTCACTCACCTATTAATTAATGTCTTCAATTGATTCACCTCTCCTCCGGTTCCACTACATAAGTGTCCATCCTTTGGTATCTGTTGTAGATTAATCAAAGCTAAGAGACCTGAAAATTACCTCTCCACTTGTACTGTCTACTGTATATATTCTCTTTATTGGATTGAAAAGGCAGCTGGCGAACGTTTCAGCAGTAATGATACCAAGTTTTGCTAATGTGTTTTATTCATTATATTATAAATGGTATTAAATACCAGCAAATAGATGAGTGAGACATATGCAGTAGTACTTAGGTATCATTATTGTCAAAGCGTCTCTCCTTCACAGGAGGCTTCTTCAGTAGAATACATGTGATTATTGTAATACTGGGGACAATAGAAGTGAAGAGATAATGTCAAGGTGAATAATCCCTCAGCCTTGATAAAAAGCGGTAAGTCCCGTAGCCTAAAGCAGAGGCATGCTGGTAAGAAGTGAATTGAAGCAGCTGAAAATGACATCACAAGTGAGTGAGGTCAACTAGTGGAAGTAGCAATAAAGTTACAGAAGATATCCCCCGTACCAAGGTTACTATGGTGTTTTTGTATCAGACAAGTATCTCATCAGTGGTAACATTACTGATAAGTTGATGAATAAGACATGTGCAGCATTTAGGTATATTTATTGTTGAAACATTTCGCTTGCGCAGCAGGCTTCTTCAGTTGAATACAGGCAATAATAAGGCTGAAGACATAGAAGGTAGTCAGTTTGTTAGCCTAAAGCAGAGGCATGAGGCCAGAGGCTTGTATACTTGATTCTTTCCACCAAGAGCCCTTAAACAATTTTAAAGCACCCTTTTGAAGGGTGAGTGATGGATGAGACATGCACTCGACTTTAGACAATAAATTTTTGTGTTTTAGTAGATGATAATTGGTAAGAGTTCCATCCTAATAGATTGATGTGAAAATACAACTTGCATATATTATACTGTATTCGTGGAAACTTATTCAAGTTCTTGTTTTGGAAAGATGTGGAGGTGCGCATGGAGACCCTAGCAATGATGTGCTCCCCAGAGCAACAGATCCTCCCTCACCTGGTGTGTGTCATAGAGGTTAGTACAGTATTCACCCCTTTCATTTTACTTGTTAAGTTTCACGTTAACCAAAGATAATCACAAAACTCTTCGAAATTTTGTAATTCAGTAATATCAGAGTAGGAATACTGGGTCATATTAACGTGGTGGTGAGGTTTTAGTAGTGCCTAGTCGTACGGCAGGAGGCTATTCTCAGGGGGGGGGGGGATACACTTCCCACAGGGTGCTTGACATGAAAACATATGGACATGGATTATGGAATGTGAAAAATACATCGGATGGTTTTGTTGTGATTATGATTTATGTACTATGAGAGTGAATTGGTCACAGTATCAAGTTGGTAATAATAGGGTCAATTTGATAATGTCAGAAAGGGAATATGTTTAAAGATCTGAATAATTAAATGGCTCTAGTTCTTTCTAAGTAAAATAAAACATTTTTTTAATATTCAGTATTAATACAGCTCTTTGAAACATTTTTTTCCTAGTGTATAAATGATGTATGGTATTGCACTGCTATTTTTATTTATCTTTCTGTACATGTAAGGTAAGGTCATATTTGCTATAATATTTCTCATTATTCTTTCACATAATGTTATAAAATGACTGTTGTATTGATGATACAGTTTATTTCACTTGTAGTGCATCAAGATAAACTGCTTTGCATATACTCCATATGATAAGAAAGATTTTAATGTATATATAATAATATATATATATATATATATATATATATATATATATATATATATATATATATATATATATATATATATATATTTATTGGCAGTTTAGAGGGATATGTTGTGTATCTTTATACGTTTATGCTTCTGAACTGTTGTATTCTGAGCACCTCTGCAAAAACAGTGATAATGTGTGAGTGAGGTGAAAGTGTTGAATGATGAAAGTATTTTCTTTTTGGGGATTTTCTTCCTTTTTTGGGTCACCCTGCCTCGGTGGGAGACGGCCGACTTGTTAATATATATATATATATATATATATAAATATATATATATATATATATATATATATATATATAATATATATATTATATATATATATATATATATATATATATATATATATATATTATATATATATATATAATTACACATTAGGGATGGGACAATACGAAATTTTTGGCCGATACTTATACTTTTCCTATATTTTTATTTTTGAAATTATGATGACTATGTTCAATATAAAAGGGAATGCTTATTGCAGAGCGAGTATTAAATAACATAGGAAGGTTAAATATTACGCTGAGATAATGTCATTACTCATTACTTGGCTGCTCTGTGGTGTTAGTTACTAGTTCTCAAAGGCACTAGCCAGTAGTTAGTGTGTTAGTTACCATTTCGTTAAAGGCACTTGTTGATTAGACACTTTTCCTGTTCTGTGTGTGCATATATACTTCACATGCAGACTAATAGGGAAGTGCAAATGGGTTGGTTTATTGGCTTTAAAGTACAGTCACTTACAGTAGGTCAGTTAAGGCTGCATGTTACCTATGCACCACCATTCAAGGATATTTTAACCCCTAAACTAGGGATTCAAGTAGATTCTCAGTGTATATGCGATACACTGAAAGATAAACACTACCCGGTCTGTATTCATTTTTTACAAATAGGGTGTGTGTGTGTGTGTGTGTGTGTGTGTGTGTGTGTGTGTGTGTGTGTGTGTGTGTGTGTGTGTGTGTGTGTGTGTGTATGTGTGTGTTTACTTGCCTATTTGTGGTTGCAGGGGTCGATTCACAGCTCCTGGACCCGTCTCTTCTCTTCGCTGGTCGCTATTAGGTCCACTCTCCCTTCTCCAAGAACTTTATCGACCCTGTTCTTAACGCTATGTATAGATCCTGCCTCCACTACATCACTCTCCTGATTGTTTCACTTCCTTACAGCTCTATGACTGAAGAAATACTTCCTAACATCCCTGTGATTCAACTTAGTCTCCAGCTTCCAGTTGTGACCTTTTGTTGCTGTGTCCCATCCCTGAAACATCCTGTCCTTATCCACCTTGTCAGTTCCTCTCAGTGTTTTATGTCGTTATCATGTCCCCTCTGTCACTCCTGTCCTCTAGTGTCGTCAGATTGATTTCACGTAACCTCTCCTAGTGGAAATATAAACAATCAAGCAGTATAATGTGATCCTTAATTGACAACGTTTCGCCCAAGCAGTGGGCTTTATCAAGTCACAAACTGATCAGTCTGTGACAAACAGATCTGTTAGTGACTTGATAAAGCCCACTGCGTGGGCGAAATGTTGTCAAAGGATCACATTATACTGCTTAAGTGTTGATATTTCCATTGTGTCGTTATTTTATACCATTTATTTCCACCTCTCCTTGTACGCATACCCTTAGCTCCGGGACTAGTCTTGTTGCAAACCTTTGCACCTTTCTATGTACTGTGCCTTGAATGATTCCTTAGGTTCGTCAGGCGCCCATGTGCTGCAGCAGTTATTTGCTTGATGTACACCTCAGGAGATGTGCTCGGTATGATGCTCACCCAAATATCCTTTTTCTTGAATGAGTTTTGTAGCCTTTGACCTCCTAGGCTGCACTTAGCCTGCAGTCTTCTTTGTCTTTCTGCAAACTTCATGGCTTTACACTTGCTAGGGTTAAACTCCAGGAGCAATTTGTGTGTGTGTGTGTGTGTGTGTGTGTGTGTGTGTGTGCGTGTGTGCGTGTGTGTGTGTGTGTGTGTGTGTGTGTGTGTGTGTGTGTGTGTGTGTGTACTCAGCTGATTGTGGTTGCAGGGGTCGAGACATAGCTCCTGGTCCTGCCTCTTCACTGATTGCTACTAGGTTCTCTCTCTCCCTGCTCCATGAGCTTTATCAAACCTCGTCTTAAAACTATGTATGGTTCCTGCCTCCACTATGTCACTGTCTAGGCTATTCCACTGCCTGACAACTCTGTGACTGAAGAAATACTTCCTAACATCCCTTTGACTTACAGGAGTCTTCAACTTTCAATTGTGACCCCTTGTTTCTGTGTCCCATCTCTGGAACATCCTGTATTTGTCCACCTTGTCAGTTCCTTGCAGTATTTTATATGTCGTTATCATGTCACCCCTGACTCTCCTGTCCTCCAGTGTCGTCAGGCCTATTTCCCTTAACCTTTCTTCGTAGGACAATCCCCTTAGCTCTTGTTGCAAATCTTTGCACTTTCTCTAATTTCTTGACGTGCTTGACCAGGTGTGGATTCCAAACTGGTGCTGCATATTCCAATATGGGCCTGACGTATATGGTGTATAGAGTCTTGAACGATTTCTTACTGAGGTATCGGAACGCTATTCTCAGGTTTGCCAGACGCCCGTATGCTGCAGCGGTTATCTGATTGATTTGTGCCTCAGGAGTTGTGCTCGGTATTATACTCACCCCAAGATCTTTTTCCTTGAGTGACGTTTGCAGTCTTTGGCCACCTAAACTATGCTCTATCTACGGTCTTCTTTGCCCTTCCCCGATCTTCATGACTTTGCATTTGGCGGGGTGAAATTCAAGGAGCCAGTTGTTGGACCAGGTTTGTAGCCTGCCCAGGTCTCTCTGTAGTCCTGCCTGATCTTCGACCGATTTAATTCTTCTCATTAACTTTACATCATCTGCAAACAGGGACGCTTCTGAGTCTATCTCCTCCATTATATCATTCACATGTACCAAAAACAGCACAGGTCCTATTACTGACCCCTGTGGAACCCTGCTCATCACAGGGGCCCACTCTGACACCTCGTCACGTAGGAATAACTCGTTGTTGCCTACCTGTCAGGTATTCTCTGATCCATTGCAATACCTTTCCTGTTATGCGTGCCTAATCCACTCGCTTTAGCATTAACCTCTTGTGCGGTTAATTCTGGCCATAAAAATGGCCAGTATTCACCGATACACAAACATAAACATACACACACATATACATACACACATATACATATAGGTGAGTACATACACACACTCACACAAATAGGTGAGTACATACACACACATACATATAGGTGAGTACATACACATACATATAGGCGAGTACATACACACATACGTACATATAGGTGAGTACATACACATACATATAGATGGGTACATACACATGCGCACACACACACACACACACACACACACACACACACACACACACACACACACACACACACACACACACACACACACACACACACACACACACACATAACGGAAGGGATAGACTCAGAAGTGTCCTTGTTTGCGGATGATGTGAAGTTAATGAGAAGAATCAAATCGGATGAGGATCAGGCAGGACTACAAAGAGACCTGGACAGGCTATAAGCCTGGTCCAGCAACTGGCTCCTTGAGTTTAACCCTGCCAAATGCAAAGTCATGAAGATTGGGGAAGGGCAAAGAAGACCGCAGACACAATATAGTTTAGATGGCCAAAGTCTCCAAACCTCACTTAAGGAAAAAGATCTGGGGGTGAGTATAACACCGAGCATATCTCCTGAGGCGCACATCAATCAGATAACTGCTGCAGCATACGGGCGCCTGGCAAACCTACGGATAGCGTTCCGATACCTCAGTAAGGATTCGTTCAAGACTCTGTATACCATTTACGTCAGGCCCATACTGGAGTATGCAACACCAGTTTGGAATCCACACCTAGTCAAGCACGTCAAGAAATTAGAGAAAGTGCAAAGGTTTGCAACAAGACTAGTCCCAGAGCTACGGGGATTGTCCTACGAAGAAAGGTTGAGGGAAATCGGCCTGACGACACTGGAGGCCAGGAGGGTCAGGGGAGACATGATAACGACATATAAAATACTGCGTGGAATAGATGAGGTGGACAGAGACGGGATGTTCCAGAGATGGGACACAGACACAAGAGGTCACAATTGGAAGTTGAAGACTCAGATGAATCATAGGGATGTTAAGAAGTATTTCTTCAGTCATAGAGTAGTCAAGCCGTGGAATAGCCTAGAAAGTGAAGTAATGGAGGCGGGAACCATACATAGTTTTAAGGCGAGGTATGATAAAGCTCATGGAGCAGGGAGAGAGAGGA